GCCACGGAAAAGGTGTCGATGCTCGTTGCTAAAGTTGGTAACGAGCAATTCAGATCGGCCGTCACGAACGCGTATTACACTTCTCGCTACACATATGCCTTGCTGCAGGAGGCGTTCTAAATTTGTCTCGGCCACCACATCGCCATCGCTCAAACCACAGCATATTACGTCGACTAGAACACTGGCTCGGGGAGGAAGCGTCACGCTCTGTTCAGAAATACGGAGTACGTCGACACGCATTCCGTCATCCTGCACGTTGATTGCTCGCTGGGCTGAGAACGTGACGCGGCGCTCTTGCAGATCAATGATAGCTCCATTTTCCTGTAGAAAATCAACTCCCAGAATGACGTCACGGGAGCATTCACGTAGAACAAGGCAGCTTGCTACGAATGTGTACACTTGAATCTGTACTCTAGTTGTGCAGGCACCCAGTGGAGTAACGACATGGCCACCATCTGTCCGAATCTGCGAGTTATGCCATGGTGTGATTACTTTCTTCAGCTGCGTTGTCAGTTTCCCGCTCAGTATGGAATAGTCTGCGCCGGTGTCCACTAACGCATTAACTACACAACCATCAATTGTTACTGCTATGTCGAGTGAAAGCCGGCTATCCTTTGCAGCAGCAGGTGATGTCGGACCAGTTTTTGTACAGTTCTGCGTCAATAGGAGGTCTTCAGCGCTTCGACGTTCAGCGACCCCGCCCCCAGAGGTCGCTTCGGCTAGTTTTCCCGGCGGGGGCTGGGAGATCGTGCGGTAGAATACCGCTGGGGCGTTGATGAAAATCGCCTCGGTGATGGCGAGCGCGACTGGCGCCCGGCAGACGGTGGTGCATGCTGCTGGGAGAGGTAGTTTTGGATGTCGCGTGGTCTCTGACCGTAACGGGGTGGCGGCGAGTACGCAGAGAAGCCGCGAAGCCCAAGACGGCGATATGGGCACTGGCGGTACAAGTGATCAGCTTCTCCGCAGTGAAAGCACAGAGGCCGGCGATCAGGTGTGCGCCAGACATCAGACTTTCGAGGAGACGTGCGCCGATCGTCGATGTACTGAACTGGTTGCACTGAACGATGGGCGACAGAAGCACCAGGGACAAAGGCCAACGGTGGTGGCGTGTACGTGCCTTCGTAGTACGGTATGTGCTGCGCTGACTGTAGTGAAACAGCAGGAGCAGGATGGACGAATAATGGCGGCGTTGCAGCAGGGCGTTTCAACGCTTCCGCGTAGGTTGTCTCACGGCGGTATTCAGCAGGAGCTGGCACAGCTGTATCATGAGGCAAGGTGTCCCGGAGGGCCTGGTGCAGCTCATCCTTGATCACAGTTGCAATAGAGTTGACTGTAGGATGAGGTGTTACACCAGCCTTTTGTAACTCTTCACGTACTATATCACGGATGAGTTCACGCAGACAGTCGTTGTTGGTTCTAGTGGCGGTGAAAATGTCGGCAGTAGACATGCCACTGACTTGCCTGTCGTATTTATTGGATCGCTGCTGCAGCATTTTTTCCATTGTCACGGCCTCTGACAAGAACTCCGCGACCGTCTTCGGAGGACTTCGCACGAGGCCGGCAAAAAGCTGGTCCTTGACACCGCGCATCAAGTGACGCAACTTCTTGTCCTCGGTCATTCTTGAATCGGCCCGTCGGAAGAGGCGCGTCATGTCTTCGACGTACGCGGTAACAGTTTCGTTTGGCGACTGGACGCGGGCAAGAATAGCTCGTTCAGCTCTTTCTTGGCGGTCAGTGCTGGCATATGTCTGCAGAAGTCTACGAGAGAATTCGGGCCACGTCGTCAGCTGCTCCTCCCGATTTTGATACCACGTGCGAGCCCCGTCTTCGAGATAGAAGTAGACACGACCCAGTTTCGCCGCGTCGTCCCACTGATTCAAGTTGGCTACGCGCTCGAAGTCCGCCAACCAGTCCTCAACGTCTTCGCGCTCCGTACCATGGAACGTCGGCGGTGCCCGTGGGCTTTCCAACGTATAGCGGTTCGGCGACGTGCTTCCCGTGCCGGTTGCCAAGGTTTGTACCGAAGTGCTGGTCATGTTTGTTGACGTGGTGGGAGCAGTATCGTTGACTTCCGGAGGCAATCCCCTGATTCGGCGGCTGGTCCGATGCACGGGAGTGTTGACTGGCACTGGACTCGTATTACGGCTTCCTGGGGGGGTCTGCAGCATCCGTGAGGCTACCCAGCACCTTCCACCAGTTTGTCACGATGAGTCACAAGTACTGGGGGATTTATTGAACGACCAGGTAGCTAGCTCTAGGACGATGCGTCAGTCGTGGCTGGCTCTCGAGCAGAGAAGAACGCGATCTTCTTTTTTCTTCCAGATTTAGAGCCGCTCTTGCTGCCAACCCACTACGTGCTGGCGGCAATATCTATCCATCCAGAATTGGACATAGTCCGGGCGCATAGTAAGTAGGCAGGATAATCGCTGCTCATTAAGGGTAACTGTGTGCATTTTAAGAAAAAGCAAGTGGGTGAGGGGGAGAGAGAAAGTTAGGTATACGCAGAAGAGATTAGGAAGTGTGCGGGCATAAAGTGGCAACAGCAAGCAGGCGACCGAGTTAACTGGTGGTAGATGGGAGAGGTCTTTGTCCTGCAGTTGGTGTAGTCAGGCTGAGTATGATAATGATGATCAAACCCGATAAGGAAGAGCAGCATCGGCACTCGCATTTGACCACGTACTGGCGCGGTCCGTGTTATGCGCGCGCATCGTACGTTTACACCAGCTGTTCGGGGATTTCACTGCCCAGAGTTCAGGGTTGTTGATCCAGTCCAAATGGCGCTTCGCAGCAGGCAAGAAGCATCAGTGTGCTACCGCAGCAAAAAAGAAAGTCACGCGAGTGTAGCTCTTTGCCTTTGTGGTGACATGTGCTCTGAAGCGCACCGAAAGCATGCATATCAATAGTTTGGCTCAAATATTGCAGTTCTGTGTACAATACCGTCCCTTCTTCTAAATTGTGGTCAGTATATGCGGCAGGGATGGTATGTTAACATGCAATCAGTACATTAGCTGGGTTTGAAGCATGCGAATGTTGTTTAAAATACGCGATTTTGATGCTGCTTATTAATATCTGTGTACGCCTGCTGATGTACGCATTGCGTCCAAATGGAGGAATAGGAGGATACATACAAAAAAACCGTGCGTGAGCTTTCACTTTGCGACATTATTTTGCAGTCCCACATTTTCTTCTGTGCAGTGTGATAAAAAACTCATACCTTTCATTGTAATATAACGATATGTAGCACGTATGCATCAATCAATCTAAGACAATACTGCCGTCAAGGGCCCCATTCTGCACAGTCTACATTGAAAGCAGCAGAACAATGTTGTACAGCTCGAGCTCCTGAAGAAGAGAGCTAGGGGAATGAACACTTTAGGTGCTCGCAGTACAATAACCGCTATTGGGAGGATTTACTGTTATGAAATCTGTCATGCACACAATAATTGAAATGAAGAATGCTTTTAATCAGATCAAGCACTGCCACGCGGACACATTGGACTGGGACTTTGTCTGATCTGGTGGCATTCGGCAGTGACCGAATGCCAGGGTAGCAATAAATGTTATCTCGATTATCGTGTGAGCGATTCTCGCATAATATTGCACAGATGATTGTGAGTTTCGATGGAGAAATCTGATGAAAGTCGGAATCCAAATAAAGCAACCGTCTTTCATGGTCATTTTAGTTGGTGATCAATAATTGCTCTGATAAATATTTTTAAGGGCGCAATCGAGAGCTGCCTCTGACAAGGGAGAGGGAGATGAGCGGCCTACTGGGTCCCATATCGAGCAAAACTACGATGATTCAAGGGCACACCCAGGGGGTGGCACGCTAAGCCCGTGCCCCATCCCACGAAACTTTTTCGCCGTTGCACACAGAGCGGCACATGATCATTTTAAGGGGGTACCTTCCCCGATATAAAATAGGCGCCCCCCCCCCCCAGTCCCCTTTTCTGAAAAAAAAAAATTCTGGCTACGCCCCTTCGATGAGTCTGCGTGACGGCTCGCATTCCGCGCGTTTCATAGAGATTCGAAGCGAGCGTTACGGAAGAGAGGCCACACAGTAGCGGAGCACGGCAGCGGTAGGTGCCTGCTCACCAACTAACTATGCGCTGCTATTGAATATTGTTGCCATACGTCCTCGCCTCACTTTTGCTTATCACAAAGAGAAGCCATCGTGGCTGTTCGGTCGCACACACTTAATGGTCAATTGCAGTGACTGCATGAAAGCCGGGCTTCGTATGCACTTGCCGTCACAGCAGCTCTTGGAGCACAACACACTTTCTCTCGTAGGTTTGAAGTATTTTTGTTTTAACTCCGGCGACCCATTGTGCAGTCATCTTCTCATCTCATGGAAACTTGTGGAAAGCGACCTCATCACGACTGATAATGCTACAAAAGTCATGAGTCGCTGAATGATTCCGCATCGTGAGTGCCCTTCAATAACGCACAAACACAACAAGCGAATTAACAACAAGCTACGTAACCGCTGCATCTTTCCTGCGTTGCTGCACCGCTCTGGAAAAAGGCCAGCCTGTACAGTACCACGTGGCGTTTACGTCACACCCTGGTATCGGATAAAAGGACGCCGGGCCACTGCGACGGACACTTGGCAGCTGGGGCAGCGTACCGAGCGTATCCGTAACGCTTCCACTTGTTTCTTCAGGGCCTTCCGGAGCAAGCGCGACAGTCTGCCTGAAAGTTCGTGGCCAAGCTACGTAACCGCTGCATCTTTCCTGCGTTGCTGCACCGCTCTGGAAAAAGGCCAGCCTGTACAGTACCACGTGGCGTTTACGTCACACCCTGGTATCGGATAAAAGGACGCCGGGCCACTGCGACGGACACTTGGCAGCTGGGGCAGCGTACCGAGCGTATCCGTAACGCTTCCACTTGTTTCTTCAGGTTGGAACTTTCTCGATTTTTAGTGCACTCCTTCAATTTGTATTTTGCTGTCCCTTGCTGCCACTACAACTGTTGTTGCGTGTTATTTACCAACATTGACGATGTCAGGAGAACTTGATGCCCTGAAGCGTGATTTTCGTAAAGAAATGAGGGAGATGAAAACTAGTATGGATTTCATCAACAAAGAGTTTGAGTCTCTGAAAAATGAATGCACTGAACTAAGAAAGGAAAATGCCACTCTCAGAGCAACGCAGGAAGCGCTCCTGCAAGAAGTTGAAGCATTGAAGAAGAAAGCCCATGAAAATGCATTGAGTATTACAGCGCAGGAACAATACTCTAGAAATAAGAATATCGAAGTCAAAGGGGTTCCGCAGGTAGCAAACGAGAGCCTTGAAGGCATACTCAGCAAAGTGGGCGATCTGATAGGTGAACCAATAAGGAAAGATGACATTGAAGTTTGCCACCGGTTGCCTACGCGGAGTGCCGATTCTGACCCTAACATTTTAGTCGTTTTCAACAACCGTGCTAAGCGAGATGCTATCGTCGAAAGGGCCAGAAAAAGTAGGTTCACTGCAGCAGACATCGGCTACACGAAAAAGCAGCCGGTCTATATTAATGAGCACCTCTGCCCGCGGCTGAAGAAGCTGCTTGGGATGACCATAGCAAAAAAACGGGAACTGAACTGGCGCTTTGCGTGGGCCAAAGGTGGCAAAGTTTTCGCGCGGCAAACGGAAACATCACGCATTGTGCGGATTGCATGTGAAATTGACCTAGAAAAAATGGTCGACCAAACGCCTACTAGCTAATTGCACACTTGTGAGTGCCACTTTCTGCATTTTACTTCGTTGTTGTGATAAATTATGCTTTATAAACTGGATATTTCGAACCATGGCGACTATCTGAAATTTTTACACTTAAATGCGCAGTCCGCGAGGAATAAATACGACGAGTTGACTTTGTTTTTTGATGCATTTTCTTTTAACTTCGATGTAATAATGTTATCAGAAACTTGGTACAAATATGCTGACGACGTACTTAGCGTTCCCGGATATCAAACTTTCTTCTTAAACAGACCTACACGTCGTGGTGGAGGCGTGCTGCAGCTGGTATCGAATGAGCTGTCATGCACGATGCTACCAGAATTCTGCCTTATAGCGCCAGACTATGAAGTTTTAAGCGTGCAATGTAAAAAATATGTTTTCGTTGTTTTATACCGCCCGCCAAACGGAAATATCGACGCATGCCTTCTTTTTCTCGAAAGGCTGCTAAGTTTCATCTGCCTAAACGACCTGTACCTCGCGATAGGTGGTGACTTCAACGTTAACCTTTTGCAAAATACCAAATGCGCGCGTGATCTACAACTTATTTTTCAGTCATTTCATTGTAGAAATGTGATAACAACACCTACGCGCCTTAGCAGCACTTCCGATAGCCTCCTTGACCTTTTTATAACAAACTGCACTATCGAAGACACGAAAGCAGGTACTATCGTAGCTGACATGGGTGATCATTTGCCAATCTATATGTTCTGTCCATTCAGTGCATCTTCTGGGGGTGCTCGTCACTCCAAGACTTTTCTTGTCCAGGAAATAAACTATAAAACGCTAAGCATGTTCCGTAACGAAATTGGAAACGTAGATTGGACAACCGTGTTTCACTGTAATGACCCTGATAGAGCATATAGCACGTTCCTACACATTTTGAAAGGTATCTATGAGAAGTGTTTTAAGTTTAGAACCGTACAAAAATGTGCGAAAGGTCGCAAACCTTGGCTTAATAACGAGTGCGCAGTCATGATACGCAAAAAGAACTTACTATATAATAATTTTGTCAAAACAAGGGACCCATGTGAGTTTGCGGCATTCAAGAAATATCGCAACCAGGTAACAAAGTTCTTGAGACATACTAAAAAAGTTTATTTTGAAAACCTTTTCAGTCAAATAAGTAGTCGGAGCGACTTGCTTTGGCGCGAAATTAACCAGTTGTTAAACCGCAACAACCGCCAGATTGCTGAGCTTGAGCTAATACATAATCACAGGGTCATAAAAGGCGTAGAACTTGCAGATCAGTTTAACGATTATTTTACTAGTCTGGAAAAAAGCGATTTTAATATTGCCGCGACTGAATTTTTAGGTCCGCGCAATGCATACACAGCTTTTTTTGCGCCCACAACTTCCGATGAAGTCTTCCAAACTTTTATGTCCTTAAAAATAGCAAAGCACGTGACATAAACGGGTTACAGATAAGACCGATAAAGTTTGTGGCTGACATCTTATCACCTGCACTTACTCACATTTTTAATCTTTCAATATGTGCCGGAATCTTTCCTCAGGAAATGCAATGCGCGAAAGTTAGCGTCATTTTCAAATCTGGTGACAGAAATGTATTCTCGAATTATCGGCCAGTGTCTGTTCTCCCTGTTATATCAAAAGGATTGGAAAAAATTATTTGCAAAAGAATAACGGCTTTCTGCGATAAACACTCGATCATAACAGCGCAACAGTACGGTTTCCGTGAAGGAATGTCAACAGAACTTGCCCTACTAACACAAAAAGAGTTAATCTTGAACAGTTTTGAAAATAAACAATTTATGTTGGGTATCTTTGTTGACTATTCTAAGGCGTTTGACCGCCTGAATCACCGCACTTTATTTACAAAACTAGAACATTACGGATTTCGTGGCACTCCTCTTGAGTTAATAATTTCGTATCTAAAGCACAGAAGGCAATGCGTTGCCATCATGTCAGAACAATCTACACTACAAAAAATAACTCAAGGAGTACCGCAAGGTAGCATACTGGGGCCCATACTATTCAACATTTATATCAATGATATAACAAATATTTCTAATGACGCTGACTTCATAGTTTATGCAGATGACACCAGCATTTTCTTGAGATCAAGTGACATAAGTACTCTCTCGGTCATCTCTAACAGTGCACTGAAATGCTTAGCCGAATGGAGCTTCGTTAATTCATTAAAACTGAATACAGCAAAAACTAAGGCGGTCCTTTTCACCCCGCCGCAACGACATGATCTTAAAGATTTCAGATTGGAGCTTGGATCTGCTCGCATAGAACTTGCATCAAACGTCAAAACCTTGGGAGTTGTTTTTAACAATCATCTCATTTGGAATGATCATGTTGATCACATTGCCACCCGTTTAGCGAAAGCCTGTGGGGTGCTCTGTAGACTGCGCTATACTTTACCGAGGAGCGTTAAACGCATGATTTATAACGCCCTATTTTCCCCTCACTTAACGTATTGTCAGTTAGTATGGGGTGACACTACAAAAGTCAATTTACATAGGTTGAGTGTGCTTCAGAAAAGAGCAGTTCGTCACATAGCAAATGTTCAGTATGATGCCAATACTGGAGAACTATTTTCCACCCTTAAGATCTGCCCCCTCGAAAATTTCTATAACGTTAACCTCGCTTTAAAATGCCAAAAATACTTCCGATGCAACAACCATAGTTTTTGTTATTATGCAAGCTGACTATACCTAAAGCTATCTCATATAACATAAGGGAGAGAGACAGATGGCTCATACCTTTTTCGCGAACGAAATATGGGATGAGCAGTCTGTCATACCTTGTGCCACGCTTGCTCAAACGAATTTGAAAGAAATGGCATTTGCATACAAAGATCTTCAAGAAGTGCAATAAAACGGTATGTGGGTGAGCACTTATCTTCAAAGTAGTAGTGCGCGTTACGTTAAGTTATTTTTTATCAAAAAATTTGCCTGTTATACAAGCTTCTCAGTTTGTTAAGATGTTTACATACATGATGCATAATGGTCTTTATTGCGCATACAAATTTTGTACATCTCATTTGTGCGAAATAACCTGTGCATTCCATTATTCTACATTATTTCCGCTTGCGTTATGCACTGTTTCATGATTTTTCTGCTAGATGTGATAACCGAAAATGTTTAATAGAAATGTGAAATTAGAGATGTTTAAATGCATGGTAGGTTGTTTTTGGCTGTCGAGAATTGGGGCAAGGACCTTTGTCAAGCTGCTGTATAGCAGCTTTTTGTTCTTGTCCTCGTGTTCATTATCTTGCTGTAATGAATGCCAAATAAAATTGATTGATTGATTGAATTTCGGAGGGCCAAAATCTCGAATCATAACAAAAGAATGGTGCAGTCACAATAAATTCCTATGAACTGTCAGAACCACTGTGCTCTGTTAGGCAGCAGAATGTGACATGTGTCTATCCTTCACTTTCTCTTTTATTCCCCTCTTCCCCTCCCCATGTGTAGGGTAGCAAACTGGACGCATAGTCTAGTTAACCTCCCTACCTTTCCTACATTCCTTCTCTCTCTCTCTAGGCAGCAGAATACGACAGTCACGAGGCAAAATCTCGAAGCAGGCAAGCTGAGCAGCCCCGGCGACCTGACTCAATCCCGAAGCTGACGCCACCTCCACAGGTTTCTCACTCTCTCCTGCACTCCTCACATGTGCTCCACGCGTGGGAGGTGGAATAGAATATTGAATGTTCTCCCAATTATAATAGTTTTACAGTAGTGTACGCAAAGCTAGTGTTCGTTGCGTACGTATAAGCTATGTCCCTCATTATGCACTTTTGGGCGTACGCCACAATTCTACGCACGCAGCACCATACGTTGGGTAACTGCAAGCAAAGCCCTCAACAACACCTTCAGTTTACCGTAGAGACCATAGCGGTATGCGTTTCCTTCAACTAGACATGTACTGGAGGAAATGAAACGGCTTTCGAGTGCTTCTTAGCGTCATTGTGTGCTAGCAGCCGTGATAACGGTCACAGACATCCAAGTCAATCCAAATCATTGGGTCGGCATTTCAACGTCTGGTGCGCCCCACCGTGGTGTTCTAGTGGCTAAGGTACTCAGCTGCTGACACGCAGTTCGCGGGATCAAATCTCGGCAGCGGCGGCTGCATTTCCGATGGAGGCGGGATCGTTGTAGGCCCGTGTGCTCAGATTTGGGTGCACGTTAAAGAACCCCTAGTGGTCGAAATTTACGAAGCCCTCCACTACGGTGTCTCTCATAATCATATGGTGGTTTTGGATGTTAAACCCCTCATATCAATCAATCAATCAATGTCCGGTGCAATATTGCAGTCCGGCTGCTTTTCCAGCCGATATATTGAGAGTGTCACGTGTTAGCGCTACGTATGACGGTCGCGTGCGCCGGGCTTTTTTCCGGCGTACACGCGCACCCGTCGAAAAGATGTGTTATGTAATACGCATACGCACTTCTCTCACAAGTCCACGCTAATATGTAGGCTAGTTACTTACGCCAAATTAAAACTGTCGAACGTGCACAGGTAAGGCGATAAAGTATGAAGCATGCGCAGCGGTAACTATAGCGCTAACGCAATGCTTTGCGTTCTCTACATCTAATAAAGCTCCAACAAATAATCAAACTGGTATTTCCTTCTTGCTAGGCAGCATAGCTGATAAGCGACTAGAAAAAATCATTGGCGGGAACAACGAACCCGCTGGACAAGTACTATCAAGGTTGCTTATCATCATTTATGATCAACCAACTAGACCAATCAGCTACTTTACTAGTGCCGATACCGGTTGCATGAGTCTTTGAGTGAAATTGGTGGTAATTTTTGTAACATGCGAGGCCCTACAATTTTCGAAGATTTCATATACAAATTTTGAACATAAGTTTGGAGGGCGAAATTGACCCGTTCAAGAGCAACAATCATCTTTGTTGTGACGATTCACTAGAAATATTCGATGAGTAGCGACGCCATAAGCGAACCGAACAATAATTATGACCCATGTAAAAGGTTCAGTGTTTGTGCTCGAA